CAGTGTTCATAAACCGACAGAGCAACTCGATCTGTGCACTGTTTCGCATCAGAAAATGTGGCCAACGGTGGAAGGGTACAATTTCAACTGTCGGAATGCCGTAGCTGTTGAAACTGTCCTATGTATGCATTTTAGTAACCCTCTGACTCAAGTGGTTTCATTGCCTCTCTCATTATGATCTTTGAACCACCCAAACAGAATCACATTTCTTACACTTACTTTAATGTTGACAACAGTTGTGGTCGTCACGTTTCTGATGTTATTATTGTTATTCTGAAATCGAAGTGCAAACGCAAGTTCCTTAGTTCACCCTCTTTTCTATCAACCCACCTCTGTTTCTGTGTGGAGAAACAAAGATGTATCTCACATTCTCGCCTTGTTGTGAGGTGTCTGGTGGTAAGAAGATGACTGTATAACGTCAGTGTGCGCATCAGTCAGTCGGTTCCAGGGAAACCAATCTGTTCCCGTTTTTCGACCGTTGTTATGGAGAGACACATTAATGAACAATATTGTCGCACTCCTTTCTGTGGCGTATGCTACGGATAAGACTTATGGTGAGTATATAGATGCAGATTGGTAGGAAGTGGCCGAAAGTGAAGTCAACATTTTAAGCCTATGATCGCGGTCCTCAAATCTGGATCTAGTTTGCGTTGATGATAATAAATAATATGATAGGATGACTTTCCGCCTCATTGTTTGACCTTGAGCCAATCGCCACCCAATCAGTGCACTATTATTCGCTAACCGAGCCGAATTTCAATGCGGGCGTAATGTGCTGTTGGCCAACGACTAACATGTGTTCAAGGTCATTGGAGTGTTCGTATTGTTGAACTTCACGACATCACTTAAGTGGGACGGACATATCAAGGGACAATGTCGCCTCGGTTTGTCACGCCCTTATGGCTCAAGATGGACTCGCGCATTGAATTTCCCCACTAACGATACCGTTTACCTTTCGCGCAAGTAAGGGCACCTTAAGCTATTTCTGTGAGGACAACTTTGTTGTACTAATTGATGCGAGATGAATAGGGGGGGGGAGCATTCAAATAGTAGTTTCCGACCTTCCCATCTCGGAAGTCAGTCACCTGCACTGTGCAACATCGTAAACGTGCTTCTCCTGAAGGTTGCTCATTTCCAGTCTCGTGAAACTATAGAAAAACAAGAAGGTGGATGGTGGCAGCTTTTTTGACTTCACCACCATCTGCCTGACCAGCTTTTTCCTGTCAGGTTTTTATTGCGTGTTTAGAGACCTCTCTGTCACTAGTAATAGAAGACCCTCTACGTTTTCAGACCTTAGTTGTGTCCTTAGGAGGGGTAGCTAGTCCAAAGATTTCAGGTCACTCAGGTGGAGTCCACGTGGCTGGATAGGAAAGAATTTTGGCTATGGTTTGTTACCCGTATTTGCCCACTACTCTCTTTCAAACGCTGTAATTTGTTCCCTGAGGCTGTTACAGCACACCGGCAGGTTGAAAAGAATGAGGCGCTTCGACAGACTATCCTAAATCTTACTGCGCTCCTACGTGACCTATCATCTCCTCCAAGGTCCCTACACTTATTTCGCTTTAGAATTTTATAATACTGTATCGAATATCATGTTAGAATAACTTCACACTCTCATGGCATTTCTTTTGGAGCAGGTAGTACTTCCCAGCGTTGTGTAATAAGAGTGCTTTTTCATGAGTTCTCCCCTTTGAAGTACCGGCGTGTGTCTGTCATCCCTACCTTTATCAATTTATTCTTCGTATTTTCTGGTTCCAAGAGCTTATCGTGACTCTAGCACAGACAGTAGAATACGGCTTATAACTAAAGCTGTAGTTGTCATCATCACAATCCGAATCTACCACCAGCAAAAGCTGGCATCTAAGAGCAGCTGTGTACTGGAAATGTGCGATAGTCTCCAAAGTGTTATGAGCCCAAACCAATATCTTATGTGCCCAAACCAGTAGGTCTTATGCATGTACCTGTTAGTTTCAGTAAATTTAGTATAGATAAGTTCACTGGTGTATATCAAAACTGTAAGAGATTTCGGGAAGTGATAATGAACGGCGAGATATACTCTTGTGGAAAATAAGATGTGTTGAATTTCATCAAGTGGAGGTAGTGTCAAAGCCAGGAACTGACTTCCATACGTCACAATCAAATCCAGATATGCCCTCAAAAATTTAGCTCTGTCAGTGTATAGCAAAGTTGAATAAGAAGGCGTATGCAATGTATGGGAATGATGTATCACTAACTAGGTCGAATTAAAAAGCGTGCAAACAAACCTGTGTTGGTTAATCATTCAATGTACGTCGAGACACCTAAAATGCAGTATTCGATTAAACAGCTGGAAACCAATTACAACAGTAAATACTCAGGAAAAGCATCAAAAATCGATTCTGGTGAAAATCTTTTATGAATGCTTAAATTATTTTATATTAACATCTAGACACAATCAAGTCAAGGATACAATTGTAGGTTCAGTTTCCGCCTCTCACAATAAATTCCAAGCGTCTACCTGAATTTCTATTTCATACTACTTTTGGCTGAAATATTTAGACTAATTCTTCTTGTTTATCCTAGCAGAAAAGGCGTGGTAAACATAACACAGATTTTTATAGGCTCTCTTAATTTGCATGACAAAAGTGACACAGACAGATTCAGATTTGAGAACAAAAATGCTGGTGTGACTTTTAGGAGGTGAAGGATGCGAAATTTTCACAATGATTAACGCACTGTCTATTTTTTTTAACTCAGCGCGAAACTCTGTCACTTCATACTTCTATGATCACCTCAGTTACAGTTGAATAGTATAGAAAGCTTGTAGTATATTCAAGATCTGAAAGTATTAACCTCCGAATATTGGAAAACTTCAATGAATGCATATAACTACTGAGAACAGATGTTTGTGTTACAGTTGTGTATTTTTGTCATTACTGCATTAGCCATCGTAACAATGACCAGGTTAATCATATCGGTTTTTGATCATATTGTAGTAACACTCCTAAAAACTGTCTTATTCTTTAGAGACGATCTTGAAAGGTAGATGATTTATACTTTGACAGATTGATATTTTGAACATTTTATCAAACAGTTTTGTTAGCCGTAGACCAGGTGGAATGTGCAGAGGGAAATATTAATGTCATTTGTGAGCGAAAATCATCAAACTCCGTAATTAATCAGTATATTATATTGAAAGTGACGGGGATTTGAATCAAGGCTGCAGATACGCCTTGATGATGAGTACTAACTAGCACGAAACCTAGTTCCAAGGCTTCCTGACGATTTCCTCCAACTATCCAATATCATCAAATCAATGTGCACCGTGATGGCGAATGAGACCACACATTTCAATGAAGTTCAGCTGTATGAATGAGTGACTGCATTTATGGTAACTTCACACACATGTAAAGTCTGTCATCTATAAATTGCACAGTTTGAGGCAAAAATTCACCACTGTTTTGTTTGGAAACCCATTATATTCACACCAAGATGCTACTGACTGATATAAGTAGTTGGAAACCATTAAGGTCAGCTAGTGTTGGTCGATAATCAAACCAAAACATGATTGATGGAGGTTTGTAGATAGCCCAAGTTCTAAGTAGACCATCAGGTTAGACTATGAAACTATTCCCCTCATTTAGGCTGCGCTAATCCAGAGGTTTGAACTAGTTTGCCTCTCTGCACTGATTATCACTGACGCATTGCTGATAAACACTGTTTGAATCAATCTCTAGCTGATTGCAACTCGTGATCAATCCTGTAACCAATCATATCCCTGCAATGCAACAACTGATAATTAATCGGATGCTTACTAACGACTGGCCCAATACAGGAGGTTACCTGGAGTTCTAGTGAGGAGTTATAACCTGTGCTATCTACCAATTCAAACAACAGGACGGTTACTTGCCTGTGACACTTTCTGATGGTTGCGCTAAAAATATCACGAATCGGTAGAAGTTGGAATTCATGGGCTGACCATTGGATCGGATCCCAGCGGCTGATTGGTCTGCGAGCTCACCATGTAATCAGAAGGTCCTGGTTCAATCCCCGGTGAGTGCATACTGTGAAGAGTCTCGAAGTAGGACGAAATAGCTGTCTAACACTACCTGGTTTTCCAGTGGTTTTGTAACCGATATCAGCTCTTGGTCAGTCCTGCAACCAATCAAATCCCTGCAAAACAAAATCTGATAAGCAGTCAGAACTGTTGGTTGGCGTTGAGGTCCCTTCTTATGATTAGTAGGTACCAGTGGTCGATGTAAGGGGTTTCTGAATACTCACTTCAGTCAGTAGTCTTTATTATCTCCACTTGTTTGTTAAATGGATCAGTTGTTATGCTATGAAGAATTGGAATTTGTATATAGTTGCAGAAAACTATAAAGAATTATGAGCTCTGAATAGAAGTTAAACACAATGTCAATAGGTGCTGAGGAGCCCTCAATTTGTAACCTAATATTTTGAAAATGCCAACCAGAGGAGGCCATTTTTAATTAATCACAGCTCTATGTGATAATCGTTCAATATTCATCATTGGATTTTAGAGTGGAAAACTGGTACATCGCTTTTAGCACTTGACTTTTGGCTATTGGGAACGGGTTTGAGATACACTTGACACACTCTAACCTGGATGACTTGGTAGTGTAATTAATGCTAACACAAGAAGTTTGACTCAGCTGACAGTTCTACTCTCCTTAACTGTTTTCTAGCTCAGCAAATGAGTCAGATAACGTAATTTATACTTATTTCCCCAAGAAATATGAACATTTATCGAACCATGATCTCATCAGCCTAATAGACAATCTAATGACATTCAAGGTAGGAGATATTCAAAAAGTGTGTTTTTCCAACCAAACATTACTTTATCATTTATTGCAGTTTGCTGCAATCAACTCAGACAGCCTAGTAATGAAGCAACTAGTTTAAAAAACGCTAAAAGAAATACTAACCAGACCGCAATCACTCACATTCTTAGTTAAAAGTCTTCCTTAACTTTGTATAATTTCGCTCAATCTTTCACATAGCTCCAAGGATATGTTGGACCAAACCTAATCAACACTGGTAATCTTCTGAAAAATAAAACAAGGCCAAGATCTGTACGAGACCAATGTGCGAAACAATCCACAGAAAAAAAGTTATCAACTGCAAGACTTGAAGAATATGAAAGCCAGCTATTAAAACGTCCTCTGTTATTATTTCCATATTTAGTTCAGAATCTTCCTTATTCTGTAAGTGTAAATGAGATCCTATTTTTTTTTCCTATAATCCTTTGAAGTAATTTGATGGTATCTATCTAACTTTTATCAATTTGAAGGTAGAACTCTAGTAAATATTGATATGAAGTAAGCACTGAAAATGTTGTCTAGAAGGACAATGAAATATTCGCAGGGGAACTACTGAGCTCAGTGAACGCAACCACAGTAAGAAAAATATCCACCAGAGTGAAAAATCTTCTCCATTATTTTAAAACCTTAAGTTCAAGCATTATGGAGGAGCGAAATTCCATATTAGATTAGATGATTTGCAGAGGACTTAACCATGAGCTCGATAACAGTACAAAGTATCAGAATTAAAATCCGAGTTAATGAAAGAATATTGAGTCAGTATATTATAGAAATAAAGATAACGAGTTATAAAAGTTAACACTCATTTGAAAATAGCGCTATAGACCACTGCTACGAATTATTAATATAATCCGGAGATCTATTCCACCTCTGGGGTCATGTACACTGGTAGAAGGTGTTCACCGGCTGTTGAGCAATCATCCAACGAGGATGAGATGTTTCTGCAAATTCCAAAGAATACAACACGGATATTGGTGGAGAGAGAAGGCAGTAGGAACCGTTGAGAAGATAGATTGATGGACAGCACACAACATTTCCATTCGTACGCCAATGTTATGTATTTTACAATGAACTCATTTCAAACAGAAGCTATGCACAATGTGTCCATTTGTAACATCTGACAAAAACAGTACCATCTTGTTGTTCCGGAATCCACTGTTTGACATTTCATAAATTAGTGCAAAATTATTCACTGATAACAACTTATTATTCATATGCTAATATAGCTGAAATCCAATGAAATGAGCTCGAAGCCTCATCGAAGAACAAAATGATATCACTACGCGCTATGTATTCCCCCCCCCTTTTTTTCATGTTCATCAAACTATCCACGGTAATAATGGACATAGTCAACCAACTGGCTTGATGGTTTGCCAAAGATATAGAAATCAGGATAATAACTGCATTCAACCCTTGATAAGTCAGGTTTCCCAACCCCTTTGATTCTATTGCAAAATAGCTAACTAATATACTAGAATCTGTGAGAAAACAAATGTACTTCTATTTGCTTCTTGACAGTTTTCATTTCGTCGATTAAGTATAGGGTATGAATGTCTTTGATAAAAGTATCCTCTCACTGGACATCGAATCACTCTTTTCCTAATGTTCATTTACGGAAACTGTCTGTTCTGTCTGAAGACAAACAGATGAAAACCAGTTGAAGATTAGAATACCAATAGGATATTTGAAGGAAGTATTGCTTAGATGTATTCTTCACGTGGAATTCACATTCAGCGGTATCATTTTTATAGAAAAAGACAGGATTCCAATGCTATATTATTAGGATCCATCTCTAGCAAACCAGGAGTTTCGAGTAAAACAACCACCTCCAGTAGATCACGTGATACAGTGATACTAGATCTGAAGAATAAAATTATCCTTTATGGTATTTCTCCTTGGTCCCAAGAATTGAGCAACAGCAGGTTGGAAACCAATCAAGAAAGTGAATGACTACGTTTGGCGATCTACGGACATAACTGGATAACTATAACGTAGAGAACTAGGGAAAATTAGATGCATTGTCTCGGATGGAAATTCAGGTAGCCCAGTGATTCAAGCGGGCCACCGTATTCCACTTTCATGATGATGTACAGAAGAGAAATAGTAAGAGGTTGAAACAAATCCGTCTGCCTCCTGGTATAACTTTTTATTTATTACAACCTGAGAAGTTTGGGGTCTTTACGAAGAAATATATGACCATCAAATAAATTTTGTTTGGCTTTTTTATTCCACGGGAATCAACTCATCACTATAGATTTTTTGAATTTGACTTTCTTTAACTTTAAATAGTTATTTCATGTATTCACACCTTCTAACCCGTTAATTTATGTAAGTATTCAACGACTTGTCATATTTTTCTGTCTTATCCGTTTCATTCCATTGATTTTCTTCTTTTCTTTTTGGATCACCATCATTTTGTAGATCAGTTTCTTGAGTGTAATTTCAACAAAAAGAAACTGACTTCACTGCCAGTCAGATTGCATGAAATAGGCGTTAGTTCAATTTATACATAGGACAGATTATCTTTCCATCTAAAGTTGTTGATTGCTTGCTGTTCGATGACATGTGTAGATATTTTGCTTTTCAGTCAGGTAAGTTAATGATTGTCACAGAAGGAAAAACTTCATTAGTTTTCCGGACGTGATATCATTCAGAAAACCTTTGAAAGCTAAAGGGGCACCAAGTTCTGCTACGTCTTCATTTAGGACTCTTTATCAACATATCCGCTGACATGATTGTGATAATCATAAACACGAGGTTACAAACAGAAAGAGCGATAATCCATTCATTCAGTCAGAGTGTAGAGTTTCACACTGTACAACTAACTCCAGTTTGTGATAGAAACTATGCCAGAATTAAATCATTTCCCAGGAACCATCAATAGATAATGGTGAACTTCTAGATAGATTTTCCGATATTCTAATAGGGATCCATAGTGGATGGGGTTTGTCAGGATGGATGTAAACAGTATTACTTAATTGATGATACTGGGTAATTGTTGTTTAATGAATTGCGTGAATAGAAGTTGGTAAAATAAACCACTGAATTTCACCCTATTGCCAAAATTGTACTCATACTTCTCAAGCTCTGATGATTATAAACTGTGATTCTTCTTTGTTTTTTGTGCTGAAAACTGCTCTCCCACCCCCCTCATTTTCCTGTAAGCCGCCTTATTCAATAAATTTCATTACCTTTCTGTCCTTTGTTTTTTCTCCCACTAAATTTTATGTAAATACTAAATTGTTGTCTTCATATCGATACCTTCCTTTTTTCTCTCTCAAGATGTCGAAAACAGTAATCGATTTACTGGATCGGGAACATAAAGGACCCTTGTTAGATACAGTGAAGTTAGCAAAACATCAGAATGATATTGACATGATAAATAGAAGAAAGAGTGAAAGAAAATCAACCAGCCAACTAAACAGTAGTTTAAGGTGAGTAATTAATTTACCTACAAGGAAGAATAACATTATTATTATTATTCATTTCTTGTGTTTCGAGTAAAGCATATGACCTGAGCGGAGCACCTTCACTGAACTTGGTTCGTTGTCATCACAACTCCCCGCCCACAAGCCTGCCTGCCTGTCTGTGTCACCCTCAGACTTTACAAATCGAACGCTCTCCGCTCAGGTTCCAGTTGGCGACTTGGAGTGATGTCGTTTGAATACCTCCTGGCAGTATGTTCAGTTCACCTGTATTACATTTTTCACATAACTTCATAACAAACTTAAGTTTCCATAGTGATGGGTTTCCAGTAATTATAACACTCTTTTTCAATCTACATAACCAACTAGGTGAGAGGCATCAGCTGTTAAGTCATGCTTTTATTAACTTTTATAAAAAGTACAAACTTTCATCTCTCTGTTTATTTTTGTCAAGTATACAATTCCAATAGAGAATTATTCTAATTTTTGTATCACTGGAACTTTAAATAATTTCTTCACTGATAGTGTTTTTCAGTATGAATTCACCGTTATGCTATTCATCTATAAATGTGTAAGTACAGAGATAAAATCTTACAAGTGAACTGATAATGAAAATTAAAAACCAACAGACAGATTTAGAAAGGAAATGGAAAGATGTCATGTACAGTAGTCTTGAATGTGTAACAGTGAGTAAACATTTGATTAACTGCTAAAAAATCTTCTGATAAATGATAATAACAATACGAAAGAAGCGGAGATTTACACCATGAAATATGAATGCACCCATATAGCTTGAAACTGTAGATTATATTGTTTGTTTGTAAAAATACAGAAATCTAGCTTATCGAATTACTTTCAGTTAGCAAATCAATTAGAATTCTTGACGATACTGACTGTATACTATTCATCAATCCCATTTCTACAATAAAGTAAAAGTTCCTCAGAGATTTCTCTTAGTGATAATAACTTGATTTTAGAATTAGATTATGTATCTAAGATGATATTATGACTTTAAAACCCCTATGAGCTAAGTTGGACTTATTATTATTTTTATTTTTGTTTCCTTTATATCACTAGAGGAACGTAGGGCTTCAGCCACACGTCACCATTGCGTTACGTTCTCCGCCAAAATTTTTATCACCCGGTTCTACATCTGCCCACGTGCTTTCATCTCCTATTCGCATGACCTCTTCTATGTCAACCTCACACTAACGACCAACTCGCCGCTTCCCTTTGGGGTTCTACTCGAGGGCTTGTCTAGTGATGTCACTTGATGGTTTCCTCAGAGTATGGCCAATCCACCTACATTTCTTTCTTCATATTTGTTGCACCATCGGTTTCTGGTTGGTTCGTTCCCAGAGATCCCTGTTGCTGATCTTTTCTGGCCGGCCATCTGATCTTCAGTATTGAGCGAAGGCAGCTATTGATGAAGGTCTGTAATTTGTCGCAGAGCCCTTCGTGACGCGGCGCCAAACCTCTGATCCGTATAGTAGCACTGACTTCACATTGGAGTTGGAAATCCGGATCTTATTTTCCATGCTGAGTGCTGTTGACCTCCACAAAGATTTGAGATAAATGAAAGCTTGTCTTGCTTTCTAGATCCTCGTTTTGATATCCTTATCAGTTCCGTCTGCACAGGTAGGTAAGCGAAGCTGCTTCTTTCAGATTTCTTCCATTTATGCTGGTTGTTGTCTGCTGTAGTAGCTGTTGCTGTTGGCCAGAAATCTTCATCACCTCTGTTTTCTCTATGTTCACCTGAAGGCCTATCTTTGATGTTTCCTCTGACAACTTGTTGCTTTTCACTTGCATATCTTCCAGTTTGTGGGAAATCAGGCATATATCATCAGCGAAGTCCAGATCCTCCTATTTTTGTGTGTGGGTCCATTTTATGCCTGTCTCGTCGTTGCCCACCGTCTGTCACATTATTCTGTCTACCGCAATCAGGAAGATCACTAGAGATAGTAGACAGTCTTGTCTAACTCCCGTCCTCACTTCGAAGGATTCCGTGAGTTTCCCGTTGTGAATTACTTGTCATGCACTATTGTCGTACAACTGTTGAATGAAGTGTTCAATTGTTGGCGGCACTCCATAGTAGCGAAGTAGTAGTAGATGGGTGATAATTCTTGAAAATACTTTAATTCAAGGTGATATATCACTGAATGAACTCTGTTTTTAGGGAAACCTACTTTTTTAAACATCTAAAATGTCATTGACAAAAATGACTCTAGTTTGGTTTTAAAAGATATTTGAAGGCTACAGAGACAGGGCGGAAAACCTCACTGGCTACAACACTGTTAAAGTTTGACTTCTTCAAAATTGAACAATGTTAAAAATTGTTAGAGGTTCAGTTAGTGCAGCCGAAACTGCATTGACCAAACTGAAGCATACATGTGGTAACCTTCAGGTAAATCCAGGACTTCTACACAATGATTCCCTTTTATAAATTTTAACAAAGAAAGAAGAAAAATTGGCGCAGAATAATCTGGATCCATTTTATTCCGTTGGTTCTCATCAGCTGCGTGTAGCCTTTGTCTATTAGCAAGCATATTGTCAGAGCGTCATAGTAAAATAAGGCGTTGCGATTTACAAGGTGTCTAAAGTGTTACGACATATATATATATATATATATATATATATATACATATATATCTTGTTAGAGAGAAGTTTCTTGAAACAAAAATAACTAACAGTTGTGTTGTTGGGGTGGTAACAAAAGACAATTTGTAATAGTTACATAATTAGATAAGTGAAGATCAAAACTTTGAAATTTCGGTGCACATGAGGTCAGATGAGAAGTTGATGATGTAATACAGTGAGCAGAACTCAGAAGATCAAAAAAAATTATCTCTTAAGAGAGTCAAGCAGAAAATAAAGGGTGTTGGTGGGGTGAAAAGATAAGTTAACAAAATTAGAAAACAAAGGGTTACTAGGATGTGAGTCACCAGGATAATTGAAGTCCAACAACGGATTCTTTTTTTCAATTATCCTGGTGACTCACTTCTTGGTAACCCTTTGTTTTCTAATTTTGTTAACTTATCTTTTCACCCCACCAACACCCTTTATTTTCTGCTTGACTCTCTTAAGAGATAATTTTTTTTGATCTTCTGAGTTCTGCTCACTGTATTACATCATCAACTTCTCATCTGACCTCATGTGCACCGAAATTTCAAAGTTTTGATCTTCACTTATCTAATTATGTAACTATTACAAATTGTCTTTTGTTACCACCCCAACAACACAACTGTTAGTTATTTTTGTTTCAAGAAACTTCTCTCTAACAAGATATATATGTATATATATATATATATATGTCGTAACACTTTAGACACCTTGTAAATCGCAACGCCTTATTTTACTATGACGCTCTGACAATATGCTTGCTAATAGACAAAGGCTACACGCAGCTGATGAGAACCAACGAAATAAAATTGATGCAGACTATTCTGCACCAATGTTTCTTCTTTCTTTGTTCAAATCCAGGACTGTTGAATCAAAATGAGGTTATCCTAAAAGCTGACTTAATGAAGTGAATACCAAATCACATTACATCTAACCTGATGCCGGTGCTTCTATGTTTAGTTTTAGCAGGAGTTATTACCTACCCTGATAAACGGGCAGGCTGAAACCAGCTGTCTACATTAGACAATATGTTCTACAAATTTACCTTTCCTATTGGAATCAAGCTTTTCTCAACATTAGTTTACTCTGACTGATTGCTTCATTGTCAGTGCATTGATTGTTCGTTTCAGTCGGGTGTTTGCAGTCTAGGAAAACTTTGATAGATGGATCTATGAATAGTTTACTGTCAAACTTTCGATAACTAGATTGAGTAACTTTTGAAAAACGTTTCATGCTAGCCGAAGCAAAGTATGACCAGTACGCTCAACTATGTAACAGCCAGTAAGCGTTTAGATGTACTTGTTAACTCTGACCTTTTGACAGGAGAAAATGTGCTTGTATCGAGTAGTTAAATACTGCCACATACAGTATGATATTATCACACCATGTTTTTTTCTTAAAATCCACAGATATAGTACGTTTGTTATATTCTTCTTTCTTCTTCTTCCTTAAAAAGCAAATCTCCTGATAATAATATAAGAAGCCCTACGAATTTAGTAAAACCAAAAATTGAAGTTGAAGATTCCATTGAACCAGAAATGTTTACAGAGGTAATTTTAAATTCATTTTATTCATCAGCAGTATAGCTTTAAGTGTGTTGGAAAAAAATACACCAAGCAATAAGGCTTATTTTGAAAGATGAATCACGTGGGGCTAAATGACCTGACTCTAACAGGTGATCACAAATAGACGACTTCGAAGTTCTACGTTCGCCTTTCATTAACCAGACTGGATAGTGTTCAGCTACACGTTTTCGGAGATTACGCTTACAACGTCCAATATAAACAGCTCCACAGCTCCAACATTCACTGGGCAGTACACTAACTTCAACAGTTGGGTACCGTTAGGGAGAAAGAGAAATCTTATTCATTCCTTATGCTCCAGAATTCGTAAAATCTGCTCTGCAGAGACAATCGATAGTGAACTAGATAAGCTTCGATCAAATCTCCTTAATAATGGTTATCCTACAAGGTTTATCGAACGTAACATCAAGAAAGAACACGAACCCAGACAAATTACAGTGCCAAAGAAGAAACTGTTTATGAGTCTGGCATTCAAAGGTGACACCATTTCGGAATTGATTAAAAATCGTTTATCTAAATGTATTAAACGTACTTTTCCTGCAGCTGACTTACAACTAGTTTTTACCAGCCGAAATATGATTAGACAATGCGTCAAGGATAGATTACCGCTTTTGTCCACATCCATGTGTATTTACTCTTTTACCTGCTCTTGTGGAGCTCTTTATATTGGACGTTGTAAGCGTAATCTCCGAAAACGTGTAGCTGAACACTATCCAGTCTGGTTAATGAAAGGCGAACGTAGAACTTCGAAGTCGTCTATTTGTGATCACCTGTTAGAGTCAGGTCATTTAGCCCCACGTGATTCATCTTTCAAAGTTATCTACATGGCAAAATCGAATCGATCCAATAAGGCTTATTTGTTGGGAAAACTGTTATCTTCCCATTTTACTTTCTTTCAATTTAAAAATAAACTACGTGTATTATGATTATTATTCAATTCTTCTGTTCCGAGTGGAAAAATAGGACTTCAACAGCAGATGTGCTGTATTTTTCAACTGACTCCATGACTGCTCACCAGCTTTCCTCTCCCCTATATCACTCAGACAACCAAATCGTCGTACTCACTGTACGTCCCAGCGAGTGATGACACTTAGTGGCCTCCCACGTAAATGTTAAATCCATCTTTATTTCTTTCTGAAGATTTATTGGGTAACAGGTTGTTGTATAGTTCACTGCCAGAGTTCTTTGTAGTAAGCTTATCCTTTCCGGTTGGCGATCTAATCTTCAGTATAAGACGAAGACAGGTGGAGATGGAAATACTTTTGGTGAGATTAGCGCTAAGCCTCTGAACTACATAAAAGTAATGACTTGACGTAAGTGTTGAGAGTCCAACTCTTGTTCCGTGTGCCAAGTGCAATGGATCTCCACTCTCATTTTAGACGAAAGAACGGCTGTAGTTTCGTAACTGTCTTTGAAATCTTCATCCTTATCGGCTGTAGATGAAACGACGCTGACCAGATAAGTGGGTGGAAGATAATGCTTCCTTCAGATATCTCCTACTGGTGTTGATTCTTCTCTGTCGTTTTTGGTTAGGTATCTTCATTCGTTCACCATGAAATCCTGTCCTCTCTGTTTCTTCTTCCAAGTTGTTGGTTTTCATTTGTATATCTTCGAGGCTGTGGGATACGAGAAATAAATCATCCGTGAAATCTTGATCTTCTAGGACCCTTTCTGTTGTTTCAAAGTGTCTTCTCACTATACTTATTTAGATAAGTATTAATGATAAATAATTAAAACCCATCGGTAGAAAACCCCGAGCCTACTGGTGCTCTGCGTTAAGGTGTATCTTCAGCCTCTAATGAACTTGCGTTGCCTGGTGCTACAGTCAGAGACATTACTACTCTGTTACTGGGACTTACCACCGACTTGCAGAAGGAGGGAATGGAATGCAGCCATGAAGAACACATGTGATCCAAGATACAGAAGTCTTTTCCAACCTAGAATTGCTTAGATAATAGATTTCAGCAGCACTCTAGTAACGTCGTTCTAAATTTTATATGATGCTTGACCACTGACTTTGAATTTCTAGATGAGACGCTTTTTAACGATAACTTTTATGAAAGCAAAAGTAATAAGATGTGCACATTTCATTTTTTTTGAAGTTTCTACAAATGGAAGCAACTTGAAGTCCACATATATATCATATGAATTCAAATGAGTGACACATTTGAGTGTTAAAAAATAACAGTTGCTTACATTGTGAAGCCGATTTTTTCATGACTGCAAGAATTTACAGAGCTACATCAAGAATTATGCAACAGCTGGTACTGAAAATATGATCATCGCAAGAGGTAGATTACGCACCCATGATATAAGTTAGTGGTTTAGCTATATATCACGAAATAGTAGAAGTTAGGATTCATAGGTCATTGGATAGGGTCTCAGCAGATAGATGGTCTACAAGCTCGCCTTGTTAAGGGGAGGTTGTTGTGCTGCTATATTTTGTATACACTAGAGTACACGTATATTCTAGTACGTCTTCGCGTTTAATATTGTGTCCTAACGTTGCGATTACTCGACATCCACAACGTAATTCAAAAGGCACTTGCGAAGGAATACGATAGTGTATTATTGCAGCAATCAAAATTCGAAAATCGAGCGAGTGCAAAAGTATCAATTGTTAACATGCAAGATTTAGAGTAATAAACAAATCAAAGTCCAGTTACACAGTGAAAGTATACTGCAATGATGAGTAATAAAACGGGTCACTACAAGGTCATGGGTGCAGTGGTATATGTGTACTGCTGAAGATTATTAAGCTAAGACGACGTAGCTGTCCAGAACTGCCTGGTTTTCCAATGGTTCTCTAAATGATCTCAGCTTGTGACCAAACATATGTGTTGGAAATGCCTGTCACTATGGATTAAAGCTCATCATAATGGGGGAGCGGCGATGCATTAGATTTTTCACAGAAATGTGAGCATCTCTTTTAACGGCTTGTTCATCTCACATTCTTTTCATTCGGTAGAGTTGTAATTAAGAAATTCACTTCCATGCAGATGTAGTCTTAATCAACAAGCCACTTCATCTCAGTTTTCGCCTCTTGACGACATCACTCAAGGATTTATCTCAAGATAGTAAGGTCTACTACTTGATTGCCAATAGATTGAAGTTAAAAAATATCACTTACTAAACTTTTACTCCTTAGACAAACATAAGGAAACATGAATTGAGTCCTGAAAACCTCCTTCTTGACCGTAGATTCAAAATGATTAAGGCTTTTGAAGGAAGAAACAAAATTGCTCAACATTCTCTAGTTTTTAGTGACTGCTAACCGAAGTAGATTCAAGCACTTTTATATTCTCCCGACTTTGAATCTTAAAGCTTTAATTTAGGGATTAGCTATATTCCATGTGTCTACAGGTCTACTTTTTTAATTGTGTTCTTCAGTCCAGTCCTCTGAAATGTCACAGTGTTAGTTTCACTTTCATACACAAATGAGATTTGTATGGACACGTTCGTTTCCATGATTCTTGTGACACAGAAGAAAGTGAAGTGTTAAATATCCTGAACTGACTCTTTCCAGTGATCCTTCCTGGTCGTTTCATATCCCGCTGATCTCTAGAAAAACATTTCATCTAACCTCCTAGATGAGGGTGTTAAAACCGTCTGGTAACATCCAGCCTATACTTATACAATTTGTTAACTCTCACTTTTATGTACTCTTCTTTATTGCTTCCCTATAATTAGCCTGAGGTGATTAACAAAGACTTTGTGACAATACGAAGGCCACTAAAAGCTGTCAGTAGGGTAAATGTTGTATCATTACGGTCAACTTGCCAACGTTGTTGTTGACGAACGTTTGATTTCTTGTAATAAATTAGCTAAAGTCATCTTGTCGTATCTGAGCTCCCTCTTTAACTATAATTTTTCCCTTGTATCTCGTTAGGTCAGCTGAGAAGTAGTTATGAAAAATTTTGTGCTTCCACGATCCCAACATTAAACTCAATGATCGCTTATTTAACATTCATCTTATGTCATCGAATTAAATTAGGTTGGAAATTACTAACTTACTAAGAAACAGTAAATAAACTGCTCTTTTTGTTTCTCTCATCATTAATAATACCTTCCATAGTTGGTTTGTAAGGATTAGTTTCATGTTTACGAGTTGATCACGGATTGATATCAGTTAGAGAAACATTGAAAACCAGGGAGTACTGAACATTGTTTAGGGTCACGCTAAATCACAAATTGGTAGAAGTTAGAATTCATGAGCCATTGAATCGGGTTCCAGTGGCTGAATGGTATATAAGCTTGCCTTGTAACCGGAAGGTCCTTGGCCCGAATCCCAGTGGGTGTGTACTGCCGATGATTCCCAAACTAGGATGAAACAGCAGCTGTCCAGTACTCCCTGGTTTTCACTGGTTCTCTAACTGATATCAATCCGTGATCACCTCTAAAAAATAATAATATCGTTGTTAGTATTCCTACTAATTTATTTTTACGTTAAATGTCAAACAAAATTCTGTAATTATTTTTTCCCTTAAGTTGTAATGTGAAGCGAACATTAGGTGCACTGCTGTACTCGTACATGTGGAGAATTCCACACTATATCAAAGTGCTGTCTGGAATAAAGCCATTATTATTACTATTATTATTATTATACCAGTAAGAATTTATCAGGACAACTTTATCTCATTTTTTTTCTCAACATTGACAGAATCCATCCCTCAGAGAAGAAACATATGCATTTTGTGAATTTATTGCAAATTTAGATGGCTTAAAAAATTACAATCCTGAGCCGACAACATTAGCAAGTCTGTTCGCTGGAACACATGAAGCACAACCACCAGTATCAACACCGATTAATGTAGTTGATTTATTAAATCTACCAGAAGATTTAAGAAAGTCTGTTAAAGAACCACCAAATTTATTCAATGAAAAGCATTCGATTAACGATTCAAAATGTTTACCTAGAATAATGAAATCGAATGCAGCTAAAAGACAAGAACAGGTAAGTGTTCCTATTTAAACATCTTGAACCAAAGACTGTGTTTTATACCTGTTGAGATTCATCAGGCGATAGGGATTGTAGCCACAAATAACCTCATAATCTATCACAGATATGGACCAGTATTGGTTGCTGACAAAGCCATAAACTTTACTACAAATCTACTCAGGTTTACAATTGATCTCTTTTAGAGATGATTTTTGTATACATAGAGATCGTTGAATAGAAACTAATTTGAAGATCCCTTTATTGGTGATGAATGTTATATTCTGAATGTAGGCAGTCATGGCATGCTACTTAACTTCAATTTATAACGACTACAGTATCCAGTTGAGAAGTTATTGTCTGCTCCATGGAATACGTCTGTGATTAGAAACCTTGACACACTTAACGTCTCAGTATCAAGTCAATTATTTAGTTAGTTTTACGAGTTGATCACGGACTGATATCAGTTAGAGAACCATTGAAAACCAGGGAGTACTGGACAGCTGCTGTTTCATCCTAGTTTGGGAATCGTCAGCAGTACGCACCCACTGGGATTCGAACCCAGGACCATCCGGTTACAAGGCAAGCTCGTATACCATTCAGCCACTGGGACCCGATTCAATGGCTCATGAATTCTAACTTCTACCAATTCATGATTTTAGCGCGACCCCAACTATTGTCGTTGGTGGGACATCCATCCACACACGTGACTTCTAATTGGACCTCACTGGTCACGACTTCTCACTAGAACTCCAGGAAGCTCCAACCTGTACCAAGTCACTAGCGAGCATCAGAATAATTTTCTATAGTTTGGTTTGTAAGGATTAGTTATGTTTTACGAGTTGATCACGGACTGATATCAGTTAGAGAAACATTGAAAACCAGGGAGTACTGGACAGCTGCTGTTTCATCCTAGTTTGGGAATCATCGGCAGTACGCACCCACGAATTGGTAGAAGTTAGAATTCATGAGCCATTGAATCAGGTCCCAGTGGCTGAATGGTATATAAGCTTGCCTTGTAACCGGAAGGTCCTTGGCCCGAATCCCAGTGGGTGTGTACTGCCGATGATTCCCAAACTAGGATGAAACAGCAGCTGTCCAGTACTCCCTGGTTTTGACTGGTTCTCTAACTGATATCAGTCCGTGATCAACTCGTAAAACATAACTAATCCTTACAAACCAAACTATAGAAAATTATTTAGTTAGTGCTAAGGAAAAATTCAAATACTTAATTGCCTATAATAACTGTCAGTTTCTGGATTGAAAGTGGATATCACGGCTGATTTGAAGCGTCCAGTTCCTCCTTCACCACACAGAAATAGTGCACGGATACTTTCGAGTGTTGGTTCACAGAGATTTGACTGATTTCAAGTCTGATCACGAATAAATTAACATAATTTGGAGAACTACTAAAAATTAATGTCATTCAGGTTTGAGACACTTCAGCAGTATACATCCGTCACCCCACTGGGTCCGAAACCTACAAGAGGTTACCAGGCTAGCAGGTTGACCAACCAGCAGCTGGGATGGAATCCAGTGACGCATGAGTTCTGTCTTCTGTCAATTCTCAATGTATTTCGCCATTGCCAGCCACAAATAAATAATTGAGTTACCAGTTCCCTACTTTCTTATTAAATATCTTGATTTAGATGTCATCTTTGTTTCAAGACCATAGTCCGTCCCCGTGAACTAGGCGAAACTGAAAAAGGCTTAATTTATTGTGACTACATATAGCAGGGGTGACCAAACACAAATTAATTAATAATGTCACAGTTCAATATTTTGCGTTCACATTTAAAGTACCATGTGGCGGACTACAGAACACTGTGAAACATTTGAAATACATAGATTTTCCAGAGTAAACTCTGTTAACCCTTTCCTTACAGTATTTAAAGACAAAAAATCGGTGGAATACTCTACATTTGAGGTAAATAACTTACTCATAACAAACTCCTTTCAAACCATAATTACAATTTATTTCTCAAACTTCCGTTATAGTGTAAGCTGATTGCACTATGACAGTAACTGCTTCTGGCTTTACCAGTGACTAACTGGTCTTTGCTTGCAAAGGAGGAACTTAGATGGAAATAGCTTTTAGCCATCTAAGTTCACTGAGTCAATGTGACATGCCAGTGTAAACTTTTAAGGAAGCATGGATTTTTCAAGAAAAATCAAAATTTGACATAATTTAATTGAATTTGAGATTTTCATGTCGATTGATTGGACCGAAGTGCTCGGTCTCAGGTTGACATGTCGGCTTCTTGTACAGATGCTTCGAGGATGTCTGGGCATTTAATTAAATTAATTAAATAATTCTGTCTCGGACATGTCAACCTGAGACCGAGCACTTCGGTCCAATCAATCGACGGGAAAATCTCAAATTAAATTAAAGTGACCTGTTGCACAAGAGGTAGCTCTCGTGGCTCAAATGATCTAGTGGATTAGGCTTTGGCGTTTGAAAATAAGGGCACTGGGTTCCAGCCTCGGTGGGAATATCATCACTCACTGAGAAATGCAGGTACATCCAGTGACGAGTCCCAAATAGGACGAAATGCGCATCCTGGATTCCACTGCTGGTCACCATCCACAAATTAAATTCTTGACATAATTTGTTGCTAAATTACCAAACTATTGGTCACTTAACTGACTAAGTTGTTAATTAGGCTTGAAATTTGCTTCAGACATATGAAATAAGTAGGTGTGATAAATTAGCTGAGGGTTCTGTGTTATTATGTGCGGGGAACTGATGGTTTGAACCTTATAATCAACATTCTTTTGTGAACGTGGCTTTCTTAAGACTTTTATTGTATTTGAAGACTAACTGTTTACAATTGGTGAAGCACCAGTATTTCCACAACTGGAGTGTACAGTCAAATTTAGTTATGTGGAAATGAAAAAAATCAGCATTTCTGTAACATAGTTTAAAATTTAGGTCCTTCCCACACTTTTTCCTTCTTTCTTCAAGTATATAAATGAACGACAAAAGAAAGAGATAATGCAGTTGATTAAAACACAACTAAAGAGAGCACCAGTTTCTTCGAATTTGCAGATATGCTTTGCTGACTAGTCCCAATAGTCACAACATCCAGGTGATAGGTTTTCTCCTGATTGCCTTCAGCCTTCTCACATTAAATGTGATTTCCCTAACAGAGAGGTAGCACCTTTATATAACCAAGAATTCCTACCTTAGGATCTATTAATAATTCGCACACTACCAAACAAACTTACAGAGCTGGTTCCATTACCAGCGAGAGAACCAATAAAAACCAGGAAGTAATAAATGAACAGCTATTTTTTTCCTGATTAAAACTCGTCAATTACTTGCTGATAACATAAGGTGGCGGCCGGGCTCTAGTAACAACTTACAGAAACTAGATTTCATGAAGATTTCCTTATCCTATCCTAGTGGTGGAATGGTGAATGCACCTGCCTTATTAACTGGAGGCCATGAACTCTCCTCGAATCAGAATCCAAGAACATAAATTGACTGTAAAAAGACATGATATATATTCTTTCATATCAATGCATGCAGATAATTATGGGCACCAATTTGATTGGGATAATGTAGAAATTTTAAATAGAGGAAACACCAAAAGTGATAGTGAATCCCTAGAAGCCTGGTACTAAAGTGATATATTAATATAAACCAAATTTACCAACTAATAAAAAGCAAATCACGTGACAAGAAAGTTCAAATTCCAAGTCAATAAAAAATGATCAATACAGACATAAATCAACTACCAGTCACGAAGATGGTTGCCAGGAAACACAATTCTATCAGTTATGAAGATTTTAAATCAGTTCATTTTGTGCTAAATAAAACTTGCGCTGAAGATGTTGTCCAGAAGGCCGATGAAATCTTCGCAATTAAACCAACCAATTCAGAGAACACAACTAATTCCAAGAACTGTCTATCTGATGGTGTAAAGAGTGTGAAATCCTGAACACTGCAGTTGAACTGCAGTGCCCAGTGCTTAATAATTACCGTCAGTTTGTGGTGAAATCCACCTTGAATTCACTTAAGTCTTCAACAAAAATCCGAACTTCAGTAAAGCAGAAATTGTACTCATCATATTTATTCACTCATCTTGTCAATCAGACCAGTTTTTTTGTAACCTGGTTGCCACTGTGGAAAAATACTAAATAGTCATCAAGTATACAGGTGTTAATTAAACAGTAAACACAAATTACTTTTTACCACACTTACAGTCAATCATGTATTTAAAATATTCTGTGTAATAAGATAATTAAGACGTCAGTTAAGCTTACGTAGGTAATCTTGAATTCTTTCTCTTTTTTACTTTATTATTTTAGTAAACTTACTTAAAATTTCTAGATAGATTTATTGCGTGTAGCTTTGGTCAGGAAATAAAAATCAATACAGATCAACAAAAGTATTCTAAACCAGTGTGAACTAACAATAGCTAAAATTCTGTGACTGAGATAGAAGAAACTGTAGAAAAGTGCACTTTGATTCCTGTGTCTTCTTTCAAGCTTTCCTCTGCTTGATGTTCAAATATGAGCGGTAGGAGCTTGGACAATCAATCAGAGTCATCTGAACATCTTGAGCAGGAATCTTAGTATGTTTGGTGTGCAATTCACCTCTCTTATATATAAGATGATTCTGTACTACTAATGTGCACCGAATCATACCCTAATCATGGGGACTGAAGTGGTTGTGTCTGTTGACTGACGTTAGTCCTAATCGACCGATTACTGAAGAAATCTCAACATGGATACAGAAGGCTGGTGTGATATTTGTCAACTTGTAGCATTTCTGGCGCAGACGTGACACTCAACTTTCGATTAAAGGACATGATTGCTTTCACTCACTTCCCTTTGTTCTTCTTTATTGGTTGTGAGACGTGGCTGTTGAAAGTGGAAAATATGAGGAAGCTATTGCTCCTCGACTATAGGTGTTTTCGTTTTTTCTCCTGTATTAGGCGGTGTTATGTGACATACAATGACAAGGTTAGGCATCGAAAGTTAGGTAACCACAGAAATGCAATCAATGAAGT